CCTCCTCGCGGCGCTCACGGGCCGTGCCCGCCCTCGGCTCTTGGAGCCCGCAGCTGCGGATCAGGCCCTCATTGCCGAGGCCTCCAGCACCGGTGCCTCCCACCCGGGACCTGCCCAGCTGGTGTCTCACATTGTCGGAGTCCTAGTCCTGACCTGGCCCTCGGACCTGGAGCCTGCAGGGGGCCGGCTCCTGGCAGTCCCCGAATGCTGTTCCAGACTTGAAACCCCTGACCGGTCAGCCCGGCATCCGGAAGCTCCCTTCCCCATGACTGGCCGTGCCTTGGCCTGGGTTCGTCCACCCCAAGACCTGACACCCTTACACCAATCCTCCCGCCAGTCACTCCCTCTCAGACCCTGAAGAACTCTCCAATGGTTTCTCCAGACTCGGGGACCCTTCTTGTGACCGGGTCCGTTTCACATTCTTCCAGACCTGAGTCAAAACCCTAGCCTCAGTCCCTGGGGCCTTCCTCTTCCTGAGGAAATTGATCAGCCTCCCTGGATTTAGGAACGTACTGCTCTGTTGGCTGAGAGCCCCCCCACCCACAAACCATCCCTCAGACTCTGACTCCCCCTGAAAACCAGCTACTTGTATCCTGAGTGGAGCTTCTCAGGGTCTGTTAGTAGCTTGCCTCCTGGGTTCCCCCACCTCGCAGTACCACCTCTCACTTCAATCTCTGGTCCCCCACTCCGAGCCCCCTGCCCCGGACTTCTCATACTCCCCTGCACTGTGGCCCACTTCCCATGGACTCCAAGTCTCCCTGGCCTCTTCCTAGACTTCTCCACCCCATACCTTCATCTAGGTTATTACTGGATCGAAGGAATCTTCTTTCAGTTTCTTAACATTTATCTACATAGGCACAGGGCTTCCTTTCAGTCTCTGATACCGTATTCTGGGAAACCTAACTTACCCAGTTTTTTGTGTCCATTGGCCTCCCCGTTTGAGTTGGATTTCTCAGTACCTGCTGCCAGTCTCTGATCAGCTTTGGAACTAAAGCTTCACCGTTTAGGACCTTTTCCTGTACCTTATTTCTCTCACCCAGATGTTAGCACATTAGCACAAAATGATGTTTTTCCCAGCTAAAAGAGATTGACAGTGGAAATTACATTTTGTCTCTCCACCTAACTGTTCCTCAACTTTTTACCTTCCCTGCCTTAGGACCCACTTTCCCCTTCCTTTTACCTGTTTTTCTGACACTACTTCCTAGGCTGTTTCCCAAAGTTCTTCCAAACACTCAATGTAGAAAGAAGCTCCAGAAGCTTAACGGTGCTGTATGCTGTATGCTCTCTGCTCCCCTATATAAGAGTGAAATGTACAATGTGCTTGTTCTTCATGTGATTGTCTTTTTTTTTTTTTTAACTATAAATATTACTCTCATCTGGGCTGGGGATTTAGCTCAGTGGTTCCGCCGCCAACCTCACAAGCGCAAGGGACTGAGTTTAATCCCTGGTACAAAAAAAAAAAATTACTCTCATCTGAACATGTAAGTCTCCTCCCACAAAGACGATGGAGATCTAAGTGGAGAGCACCCCTAAGTCCCTTTTTTTCTGATTTGTGGGGAGTTTTCTCTGGTTTTAATTGGGAAAGCTGCATCCTCACATTAACTGTATCATTGATCTGTAAACTATGAACTTACATTTATTGCAACTGAAAACCTACTATGGCTAGGATATTTCAGCCTTATAACCCTGTGCCTAACTAATGTGATGATCCTTTTTTGCCTAAATTGTGACAATCTAACATGAAGATCAGGTTTGCCATTTTTTTTTT